GGATCAATAACCATCTTTAAACACAATTTTTGGGCTTAACATGGCTTCTAGAATACATGAATACCCGAGGCAGCTGACTTCTGGGAGCAGAGGCGTGGGGCCGGCTGAATCGGCTTAAGGCTGGCCCTGGAGGAAAGTACCAAGAGACAGGGTGGAGGAGAGACATATGCCAGGGGGCCAAGTACAGACAATGAGGAAAATGGCAAGAGGGGAAGTGTCAGTGGGAGGGGGGACAGGGTGATGCTGGGATAGGAGAGGAGAGGAGAAGAGAGGACAGGAGAAGGGCACTGGGGGCTAGAGGCGGGAGGGGGAAGTGCTGGGAGAAGGCTTGAAAGAAGGGATGGGCATGAGAAAGGTGAGGATGGAGCAAGACGTGTGAGGGCACAGAGGCATGAGGGGGATGGGGGCAGACAGTTGTGAGGGGATGGGCATCAGGGGAAAAAAGGGCAAAGAAGGCAGGGGCAGTAAGGGAAGGGGAGGCACCAGGAGGGTGTAGGGGTAAGGGAAGGTGCAGGTGCTAGGGTATTCTGGGGGTGAAGCAGAAGAGCAGACACCTGCAGGGGAGGGACCAGCACCAGAGGAGAGAGGCAGGGCAGGTGTTAGAAGAGGGGTAGCTCACATGATCAGAGAGGGGCTACTGGAGGAGTGGGCACAGGGGGGAGAGAAGGGTTGGTGGAGGGGGGCAGGTCGCAGGAAGGCTGACAGCAGTGAGAAGGGCAGGAGTCAGGACAGCAGAGGAGGGTGAGGAGTTGGGGGGCAGCAGGCACCAGGGGAGATGATGGAGTAAGGAGAGGAGACATGGCAGCAGAGAGAAAAGGTAAAGGTTTAGAAAATATTTATTAATAACTTGGTATGCTGCACACGGCCAGTTTGTTTGCGCCCCGCGGTGCAGTTTGGGTTTATGTGGGGATCAACATGTGGCCGGCAAGTGGGAGCCAAAACAAAAAAGTAGTCAGTGTAATGATCTTCTGTTAATATGTATTTTAGTAGTTAAATTCTTGGACTGTCATTGCTCAAGAAAAGTGCTGTCACGGGTAGAAATCGGGTAAATATTTCATTTTATTAATATCAGCAGAACTGACTTAAATGGGGCCTGTCTGTTGTGTAGTCTTGCCTTAATCTTTGTATTCATGCTTGTCAGTGTGAGATAAGCTATTTGTATGTATTTGCTTGAATATGCAACCACACTTAAGCTGATTAAATGGGGCCTGTGTGTTGTGTAGTCTTGCCTTAATCTTTGTATTCATGCTTGTCAGTGTGAGATAAGCTATTTGTATGTATTTGCTTGAATATGCAACCACACTTAAGCTGAGGCCCTCAGCATGTTCTGTAACTATCAGTGTGGCCCCTGGGGCTTCCAAAGTTGAGTTGCCCTAGCTCATCCCTGACAGGTGTCTGTCTAACCTGGTCTTAAATATCTGCAATTTAAGCCCATTGCTTCTCATCCTAACCTCAGAGGCCAAGCAGAACTATTTTTCTTCCTCCTCATGATACTCTTTTAGATACTTGAAAGCTGCTCTCATGCCCCTTTTCGGTCTTCTCTTTTCCAAGGTAAACAAGGCCAATTTCTTCAGCCTTGCCTCATATCTCATGTTCTCTAGACCTTTCATCATTTGTGTTGATCTTCTCTGGACTTTCTCCAGTTTCTCCATGTTTCCTGAAATATGGTGCCCAGAACTGGACATGATACTCTAGCTGGGGCCTAGGATAGATGGCTCATTCCCTGTCTAGGGGATGTGAGATTGGGCGGGTTAATTTCCAATCCTCCTGTTTATTCTTTTCCTAAGCCAGGAGGGCACAGTAATTCTGATGGGGGTTGGAGAGGGGATGGAAGCCAGATCCAAGATCAATGAGCCCTGGGAAGTGGGCCCATTGAAAGGAGACTGGACCTGTGGATGCCTTGGGGGTCAGCAGCAAGGGCCTGCTTTGGGAAGCCCCCTCTTTGGAGGTGAACGTGGCAGCATTGAGACACCACCCAGAAGCAGGTGCCACAGACACTAACTGCAGAGTCATGGGACGGCTCTCACAGATCTTGCACATGCATAAGATGATAGATCTGCAGGAGGGGGGACAGTGGCTTAGTGAGGGGGCCAGAGGGTTCAGTTGCCCCTGGGAGAAAAATAATATAAAATTTAGTTAAAAATAGATGTCACAGGTTTTTAAAAGGAATACTGTATCTCCTGCCTTTTGTCTCTTTAGGCCCCCAGTTAAAATTTTCAAAAGCATTTGAGTGACTAAAATCATTTTTGATAATTAGACTTGGAAATCTAAGCTCAGATTTTCAAAGGTAATTAAGCTCCTAAAGAGACAGTTGCCAACTCGGATCTTCAAAGATCTGTAAACACCTTTGACAATCTGGTCATAAGTGTCTTAGTCAATTCTGAACGTGAGATGTAGGAGCCCAGTCCTAATTCCTTCAGGCTTTTTTTTTTTTTTCTTCAATAATTTGAACATTTATCTACACTAATTCCCCTCCTTTCTCTTTCATTATCCAATAAATGCATGGATCAGAATTATAGGTGCTTTGTGAATATGCTGACTTGAGAGTGGAAAGATTTCATATTGTCATGTATGATTCCTGGTAACCCATCTCAAATATGAAAAACTGTTGATACCTGTTCATATCAGGAGCTGTTGAATTCAGATCCTCATTTGCAGTATCTCATTAGGATGTTTAGTGGAGAAGATATTGGTTGGTTTTTTTTATGTATACTGTGGGCAAAGCATGGGCTCACAAGAATTCCTCCATTGTTTTACCATGAGTCTCAAAACATTTGGTGTTTTACTAAAGGCCTGGAGTCAACTGATTATGTAGGAATCTCAGCTTTCATTTAAGAAGAGTTCTCTATACTTCTGGGCCTTACAGCTAAGGAGGAAAGCTTTAAAACATGAATTGTAAATACTCAAGAAACAAAAGGCCAATAAAAATCCAACGTTTTATTTTAGAAAAATCTTATTTGTAGACCAGTCTCATAACTTTGAGTAGGCGTTCCTTGTGATTTTTGGGTTGGCAATACTGCTCTTTGATAGGTGAATTTAGAGAGATCTCTCTCTTCAGTTTCCCTTTCCACCCTCCTTTTCTGTCACGGGTCATCAGAGAATCTGAGGGTATGTCTACACTAGCTCATTAATTCGAGGTAGGTAGGCAAATCAGGCAACCAGAGGTGCAAATGAAGCCCGGGATTTAAATATCCCAGGCTTTATTTGCATGTTCCTGGCCGGCCGCCATTTTTAATCCCCCTTAGTTTGAATGAACTGCCTGCGGCTACACGTGGCAGTTTAAAGTTAATCCGAACTAAGTCCTTAGCTAGGATTGCAGAGCGCCACAGCGGGGGCTGTGACGTTCACGGCCC